GAGAGAGAGAGAGAGAGAGAGAGAGAGAGAGAGAGAGAGAGAGAGAGAGAGAGAGAGGAGGAGGAGAGGAAAAGGGAAAAAGGAAAAAAAGGAAAGAAAAGAAAGGAAGGAAGAACAGACTGTGTGGATGTGTCCGTTTGAGCCCTTGCCTAGCATGCTCACACCCTCTGGCTTCAGTCCCCACTCCTCTGAAAATAGAAGCTTAGAAAACCCTAAGACCTTAAGTGGGTAGAAATAATCTGGATATTAGAAAACATAGTTTTGGAATTGGTAAACAGGAAACACAGAGACAGAAGGGACAGGCTAGCGAAAGAGGGAGACAAATGAGAATAAAGTATAATGATACACACACACACACACACACACACACATGCCATGGTGAAATCTAATAATCTAATTCTTTGTATGGTAATTTCACAAAGAGGATAGATAATGCAAGAATATCAAAAGGTGAAACCTACAAGACATGCTTAAGTCATGGTGGCAGTCCCTTGTGAGTAGCTTAAGGACATCATAATGGGGAGGAATCCTGGTGACAGCATTGATGGCACCGGGGATTTTCAGCTCCCTTTCATTCACATGGTGCATCCTACCATGCAAAGCCTTCCAATTACTGAACAACTCTGTGCTACATGGAGGTCCCCAGTGTTGGATTTCTTATCCTTTTACTAGAACTTTAATGCAATTAAATTTATATTATTTATTTGTCTTAGTCATTGTTTCATTGCTGTAAAGCGATGCCATGACTACAACAAAATTTGGCCAGAGAAAAGGCCAGATTGGAATTGAAGTTTTCAACTGCTCTGTAAGTACTGGGGATACAATCTCATTATCTGGAAGAGCAGCCAGTGCTTTTAATCAGTGAACCATCTCCAGTAAGTATTTTTTAAGAGTACTTAATATCCCCAGTATTCAGGGAAATGTGAATTAAAGTTACTCTGAGACAACATATCATCTCAGAGGACTATTAAGAAGGAAACTGACAGCAGATGGTCAAGAGGATGTGGGGTAAAAGGAATGTTTACTCACTGCTATTGCTGATAAAATTAATACAGATACTATGGAAATTGGTTTGGTGGCTCTGCAAGGAATTAAAAAAGAGAATTATGAAATGATCCAGCTGTACTCTCCTGGGCATATAACCTAAGGACTCCAGGTTCTACCATAGAGGCACTTGTACATCCATGCTTATTGCTGTTGGCAACCTAGATGTCAATTCACAGATGAACTAATAATAAAATATGATGTATACCCACAATATAATATTTTTCAGTTGTAATTGAATAAAATATTGAAGTTTGTAAAAAAAAGGATTGATCTGGAAAGTATGAACATAAAAGTGAGAACAAACTCATAATGTTCTGCCTCATATGTGGATTTTAGTGTGTGTGTGTGTGTGTCTGTGTGTCTGTGTGTGTGTCTGTCTCTCTGTCTGTTTGTGTGTCTGCATAAACAAGACCAACTGTGTGTAAAGTCTGAAACCTGGTAAGAAGACAAAGAGAGCAATTGTGATGGTAAGTGTGAACACAGGGACACTCTGGAAGAGATAAATGAACTGGGAATGAGCATGCTCTATGGCAGGAGGCATGGGGTGGCAAGGATGTGGGTGAAATGGAAGAAGGGAAATGATAAAATGTCACCTTGTTCAAAACTGTCATTATATTATCTAGCACACTGTGTGCTAATTTAAACATAAAATTTAAAAATGAGGGAAAGTCAACGGTGTCACCAAATTGACAAAAGAAAGAAAAAACTACCTAACATGAATTAAAGTGCTATAGAAATATTCCTTTAAATTTATAGCCATCTCAGGGTAGCCTGAAGAAAAACACCTGAGCATCTGACACCACAGGGATGGGCAAATATGTGATGGAGAGATGAGAAAGATGAAATATTCAATGGAGGGAAGGGAGACTGTACATACACAGTAGAGAAAGGTGGAACTGGAGACTCAGCAGCAGCAAGGAACAGTCAGATGTGAGGAGCCTGGGCAACAATGGGGCTTGGTGAGCTCCTGGCCTAGGCTACCACCAAGGTAGAATGCCACCAGATTACCACCAAGTAGATTTTTGTGGTTTGAGCTACCTGTCACCAGAGACCATGTGGATGTCTGAGAGCAACGCTGCCTCAGAGGGTGGGTCGGACAAGCTGATCTGACTGGCCTGCATTGCCATCTGAGCACATGCTACTGTTGGAAGCAATGTCTGGATCTCTGGTCCTGTGGCAACTGGGGGCTATGTAGATGTTCCAGGCCTGTGTTAGCACTGAAAGCCATGCAGATAGCCCTGGTCTGGACTACCCCTTGAGGTATTGTGCTGAGCTGGCCCCAGCCTTCCTTGGTCACCACATTCAGGAGAGCTGGCACATCCTTTGCCAGGGCAGCACAATAGAGCTGACCCTGGTGGCAGAGGAATGGATGAGGATGTGTTGGGTACCTTCATCTGCCTTGAGGCAATGTGGGTGAGGGAGAGATGCCGTGTCCCCCTCACCTGAGTCAGACAAGTCATAAGAGCTGGAGAGCTGTCCTTGCTCTTCATTGGCTGCAGCACTCCAGAGAGCAGGCCCTGTACCTTGCCTGGACAGCACAGTCCAGCTGACCCTGGTTGGGGGTGGGACACAGGAGAGCTGGCCTGAGGGCAGGAGAGTAGGAGAGTTGACCCTGCACCTTGCTGGCTGCAGCATTGAGTGATCTGGCTGTGGCAGTGCTGGAGGGCTCCCCCTGGTGGTATAGGCACAGGACAGCTGGTGAGCTGACCAACTGAGCCACCACCCAGGCCCAGATCCAGAGCTTTGCGTTGTCTTACCCAACATCTACCCCATTTATGAACTGCTCAAACAACATGAAAGGGCCAATCCTGCATATCCAAAGCTGCAGGATCTACATAACACAGGTAACATCAGGGTATCCAAGAGGAGTCCCAGTGAGGATCCAGTATTAATGGTGAAGCAGAAGTCAGAGGCCTTAAACCAGACCAATGAATCACTGCAATGAACATTGGCAAGTAAAGATATAGGGACAAAACAGTATAGTGTATGACACACTGACATTCTATAGCTTCCATGACAAATTGTTTTTTGTTTTTTGTTTTTTGTTTTGTTTTGTTTTATTCTATCCTATGTGTGGGAAAAATTAAAGGGCCACTGCAGAGGAGGTCTGGAGGCTTTGGCAGCAGCAGGCCCCAATGACACGAGGAAGTTCTTGGTTCCAAAAGGGTTTATTGTCATGGCGTATGGTGGATGGATATGGAAGTATGCCCCGTAAAACTCAGGGCAGTCCCAAGTTATATAGGGAGGGAGAAAGGGGGAGGATCTGGGGAGGCCTGCTTAATTTGCTCTGCCCTCTGGCCTTCATTAGTATGTAAATCCCTAGGGCCTGAGGCCTCTAGTCACAGCCTCTACCTGTGCACTTTGGTAGGGGCTGTAATGGCCTACGTGACTGAACAATGTAATTCTATGGAGACTAGACTGCACGTCAGGACCCTGGGTTCTGGGGGTGTGCAGAACTCCTGCCGGTTCTCACGTAGACTCTTGGGGCTCTAGGCACATGCCCTGCCATGAACCAGGATACCCTTACGCAGTCCCATACCTATGTACTTTTCTTTTGGGTTGCAGGTTGCAAGGGCAGAGGGAGGATACAAAGAATGGAGCCATGAGTGGGACTGGAGTGCATGATGGGACACTCACAGAGAATCAATAAAAAGCTTAAATAAATAAATAAATAAATAAATAAATAAATAAAAATAGCTATCTACAACTTTAAACTGAAGGAAAACCTAAAGAGAATTCTCTGTGTAGGATTAAAAAAACTTCGACAGAAAATTGTGAATAACAAAAAATAAGTTGCCTACAAAGAACAGCATGCCCCAAGATGAATTGTTAGATGTTGACATTGTTTGATTTTTTTTTCCGTTATTTTGTTGTTTTTTGTTTCTGATGACAGGGTTTCACTAGGAATGGCTGGCCTGGAACTCAGTATGTAGATCAGGCTGGCCTTGAGCAGATCACCCAGCCTCTGCTTCCCAACTCCTGGGGTTAAATACATAGGACCCTACAACTGGCTTTGTTGTTTGATTTCTTAATCATGCATCTGTTTTATATTGATTTATGTTATTAAAGTTAGCTGATTTATACAAATATTTCTTATAATAGATTTTTTTAAAAGATAAATATCTCTGCTATCTTGCTCTCTTTTCTTTATGTGTGTGTCTGTGTATGCATGTCTGTGTGTGTCTGTGTGTGTGTCTGTGTGTGTATGTAAATGTATGTCATGTAGGTGCTAGAGATCAACAGAGAGTGCTCTCTAACTTTGTCTATTCTTGCCATGCTGGGATTAGGAGCACACCCCCATGACTGGCTTTTCATGTGGGTGCTGGGCATCAAACTTGGGCTCTGTGCTTTTATGGAAAGCATTTTAAAGACTAATCAGTTTTCCCAGCACCAGCTGTCCCCTTTAACTTCACTGTCACTTTTACTTACTTGTTTGATTGACTGGCAGAGGGACTATCTTCTCTTCGTATCTCACGGGGTGAGTCATGGACACAACCAGGTCCCGGAGACCCAGGGACCTCGCAGTTTTCAAAGAGATGTTGTAGATTTTAGTGACAGTCACTGTGGCATTGGCGTTCTGAGAAAAGTACTCTTGTGGTGGGTGCACTGCCACTTGTGAAGGGTAAATGGAGATCCTGGGAGCAGGCTTTCCCACAGCTGAACAATGGAGATTATGAAGATCTTCAGAGCCAGGGGCAGACTGCAGTTCAGTTACTAGCTCAGATACAGCTGAGGCAAACAGAGGGAAACAAAATTACGACTACAAAAGCAAGTCATCCCAAATCCTCTGCTGTGAGAGCATGGCATGTCCCCCAATTTCTATATGACACACAAATGCTGAAAACTCATCCCTATCTGATACCTCCTGACTGATGTCACAAAACCTCCAATATCTTTTCCTCCACCTACTGACTGCTTTCTCAACTTCCATGCATCTATAAATTATATTACATATATCCCAGCACTTCATACTCACAGAGACATGTTCGGGTACACTGTGAGAAGTTGTGTCTTTGTTCTTCCTCACCTACCTAAGGCATTCTCTGATTGACTTTAATAAAAATCTAATGGCCAATTATCTGGGCAGGAAGTGGAAGGTGGGACTTCCTGGGAGGGAGAAAGGAACTCTGAAAAAAAGAGAGAGAAAGGCCTTTCTCCTAGAGATATGAGAGGAAACAGATGTGATTAGTAGCCTGGATAGTATACTTAGCCATGTGGCTGGTTGGGGTTAGGTGGTTGAGTTAACTTAGATGAGCTAGTTGAGAGTCTGCCCAGCTGAGAGACTGCCTAGCTAAGGCCTATGCTTTGAAATATTAAAAGCTCTCTCTGTGGTTATTTGGAGAGACCAGCTGATTAAGAAATAACTGCTGCCAAATTAATTTCTGACATTAATTAATCGATACAGAATATTAATAATCATCTTACAGTGACATAATAAGGAACTTTGATGTTCTCACTAGTACTGTGCCATTTTGCTTGTTTGAAGACTGGGCAACACTAATTCTCTTAGCTTCATGTCTCCTTTTTTTTCCTATGATGTCTCTTTTCTTATATGTTCATCTTGTCTTAGTAACAACATTCTGATATTTTTCTGAGTTTTCTCCACTTAATGGAAGCACAATGTAAAGAAATGATGCGCAGAGGGAAAAGATTCCACCTGAGCACAACATCTCCACAGGCCTCCATTGCTTTCCTCCTGTCTAAGTAACTTGGACCCATCACCATCAGCTTTTCATTATCGTTCGTCTTCAGGACAATGTTCTTAAAAACTATAACTCCACGATGTATACCCCTTATTATAGAACCCTCCATGAAAGGGTTATATACTTAAAATGGTAAGGCAGGTTTGTCCTCCACGGCTGCCTTGTGAAAAAATGTTAAACAGACACTTATAGCAGGCTTCATCTTCAAATGTCACTCCTTGGATAGTCATGAAGGAGGCACTGGGTTCCAGGATCTTGCACTGCAGCCTGTTTACATATGGTGGGAGAATCTTTTCTCCGTATTTACGACTGTAAGTCCCAATATTTTGAGGCAAAGAGCCTTGGATTTTCTGCCAGGTGATTTGCTCAACATTTGCCAGGCTTGTGAAGTTGCAGAAGAGAGTCACGTTTCCTCCCAGGATGGCTGTCTCATTAGTGTTATGCTTTATCCTCTGTGAGGACTCTGAAAATAAGATCCATTGTTAAGAGATATATAGATATATAGTCACATACTTCTGTGGAGTATTCTAATAACACTTGTCTTTCTGTCTTAGGATTACCATTTTAGTTGCTTCTTGTGCTCAGTAAAAAAAAGAGGCATGCGTAATGACACAGTCCAGTCTGAGGAAGTAAGATTATTCATTATTCAGAGGAAGCCCCACTTCCTCTGTGTTCTCAGAGATTGGGTGCAGAGCTGACTCCCGGGATCTGCTGAGCCCTCGGGCCCAGACCGGAAGGAACCTGTGCTCTGGGCCAGGAGTGAATTCCTGGGTCCCAGTGGGTCCCAGTTACCCCCTGTTTGGGGTGGGTGTTGCTGTTTCCTTACCTGAGTTAAAGCTCCTGGGAGGCCCTCTTCTGCTGGGTTTTCTGAGGTTGGGTACAGAACTGCAGCCTGAGATCTGCGATCTGCGATCTGCTATATGCTCGGGCCCAGACATGAAGTCCAAGAAAAATCTTTCAAAGAACAAGCTGTTTTAGCCCCAATGACTGCCAAACCTGGGTGGAGCAGGGCTTTCCCACCCTTCACTGATGAAGTATTTCCTACTGATACATCCAGGGAAAGTGGGTAACTTTGCCTGCAGTTGTGTGTCCATCCCCGGGTGACACCCAGTCTCCACTGGATATTGCCACTGATGGTCCTGGTTAAACTGAGTGGGTCACAAGGCAAGACCAAAACTCATGAACCTAGGAGCAGGAGTCGTGGGGAGAAGAGGCGTGGGGGGTGAGATGATAGAACTGGGAGAGACATTAGAAAGGAGAAGAAAACAGAAAAGGATGTACCACATACATACATGAAACTGTCAAATATGTAACTTAATTCATAAAACCAACAACTTTCACTGTGATGTTGACAAAAGAATTTGTAAATTAAATTTTCTTGCTTCTTTGACACCTCTTATAAGTGTCCCCCCCCCCCCACCCTACCAGCTGCAGATTTCCATTCATTCTCCTCTCTGGCCCTCTCTCCTGTCTCTTCCCAAACAGGATCCTGAACCCTTTTGTTCCCCGCCTCATTTTCTCTCCACCCAGGTCTCTCCCTCCCTCTACCTCCTATAACTACTTTATTCCCCCTTTTAAGTGAGATTCAAGCATCCTTACTTGGAACTTCCTTCTTTAGTTTCTTTGGGTCTATGGAGTGTATGGTGGGTATCCTGTACTGTATGGCTAATAGCCACAATTAAATGAATACATATTATGCATGTCTTTTTGGTCTAGGATACCTACTCCGGATGATTTTTGTAGTTCAACCATATGCCTGCAAAATTCATGATGTCCTTGTTTTTGATAGCTGAATAGTATTCCATTGTGTAAATGAACCACTCATTCTGCTCCTGAATTCAAGTTTGAGAGATTTTTTTTATTTTTTTAATTTTACTTATGACATGGGGTATGTGTCCTTGAGTGCATATACCCCCAGAGGATAAAAGAGGTTTATGGATCCCCTGGAGTTTGATTTGTAGGTGCTTGGGAGAGAACATGGGTCCTTACATAGAACACAACATACTCTTAGCTCTTACTTACTGAACCACCTCTCATGACTTCTCACCTAAACACTGGTTATTGACTTAACCTGAAGAAATCAGATGGACTAAATGCTGTTAATTCAATCACTCAGAATGAGCAGAAAACAGTAAGAAAATATTTGTTGAATTCTTAAATTAAGGCAGCTTGTAATGATAGAGAAATCCACATGGCAAATTATTTATAGATATGTCCTGGTAGGAATGATTTTTAAATGTTAGGAGTCTTTACTGAGATTCTCAGAAAGTGACTAGAAAAAGGGGATGAAATTCTTCTCACAGTTATATATGTTCAGTCCTTAAGCCTGGTTATTACCATTTTAACATAAAATATCTATATAGGAAAGGAATCATATCTGTATGCTAGTAAATGTATCATTTACTATCAAATGTAAATTCTAAAGCTTCATTCTCAGCTGGAGAAGATACCAAGATAAGAGGTTCCTTTTAATTCCCATGTTTCCACTGGTCTTCCTATACTTCTATCCTATCGAAACAGAAGTAAATAAATAGCCCAGATAAATTATTGATGTGGAACTTGGAATATGACATTGAATCATAAAATAATACTGTTTTCTGAAGAATGCATTTGGCCTAGCTTCTGCTGCACTAGAATCAGTAGTCAGCCTATAGTTCAAGAGCATGATATTTACAATACTCTCCCCCAAAATCAAACCAACCAACAAGCCAGCCAGCCAGACAACCAACAGACCAACCAACCAACCAGTCAACCAACCAACCAACCAACCAACCAACCAACCAACCAGTCAACCATACAAACAACAATACAAGCAAAACAAATGAATCCAAAGAAACCAAAACCTCCAACCCCCAAACCAACCACCTAACTAACCATGCAGGGAAGAGGAGGGTCAATTTGGAAAGAGTTTGGGGATGGGATGAATATGATCAAAAATCTTTGTACAACATTTCAAAAGAACTATTGAATGTTTTAAAAGATGAAGTACAAAACTCCATAAGCTTCTGGGAAAAATATTAAACATCCTTAGCCATGATGGATGCAAACATTAAAACTACACTGAGACCCCATCTTACCTTAGCTGGAATGACAACAAATGCTGGCAATTATTCAGGGAAAGGGATATCCTTAGACTCTGTTGGTGACTGTAAACCAGAATGTCCATAGTAGAATTCACCACAGAAAAGATTCTAAGTCAATGTCCCACAGACACACTTGCACATCCATGTTTCTTATAGCATCATTGATTAAACAAACCCATTGAATCAACGTAGGTACCCATCAACAGACAAATGGATAAGGAAAATGTGAAATATGTACAAAATGAAGTGTTATCCATTTGTAAAGAATGACTTTAAAAATAAAGTAAAAATGGCTTTGCTCAAAGATGAAGAAGCCAACCATCCATCAACATATAAGAAAAGAAGCCAGCTTCCAATCTTGACAAATGTCAAGATTGCTGTCATTTGTGGATCCTAGATTTTGTAGAGAAATATGTAAAGAATATGTATGTATTTCTGTATATGACATGAAAGCAGGAACAGAATGGTAATATCGAGAAGACAAAAGGAGAAGACAAAAGCAGAATACAGTGGAAGGGGAGGTTATGGGAAGTGAATATGAGAAAACTACATGGTACACTCAGAAGATAATTATCATTATGAAACCCATAAATGAATATATGCTAGTAACTGTAATCTTTTTATAAATGTAACCATACAGAGCTTATTTCCTTTAATAATCTAATTCTATCTCTAACAGATATACATTCCATCCTCATAAATTTCAATCTTAATGGTTAGGCAGAAATAATATTAATCTTTATTTCATTGAACTTTATATTACTTTATCAGTTTTTAAATCCTTTCATGGTTTCTTTGGCCATTTGATAATTCATGTGGAGAGCCACATAGTGCCGTGCCCTTAAGATGGCGGCTGGTCTCTGCCTTCTGCCACCTGTTGGCGAGTGCTCTCAGGAGTAAACAAGTCCTTATTTGGCTGTGGCTAGTGATCTGGCTTGCTTCCGTGTATGTGGACCTATCTGCTGTTGCCACGTGGCAGACAGGGGTAGGCTATTCCTAGAGTACCTAAGCCTGGGAGAAGCTTCCCTGGGGGGAGAGAAGCTTATTCAAGGTCCTGAATAAACTGCTTGGAGAAGAGCTCGTGTGTCACGTCATCCTTGCTGGACGAGGGTGGGCACAACAAATTCCCTTCAATGATCCCTGTCATTTGGCCATCAGGCTGTATGATGCTGGGGATGCTTCTCACTCAGCCAAGAGGACAATGGAACAGGCACTCCTGCATTTGCCCCTACAGTGCTCAGTCCCTTATTTCACTGTTAATTCCATCTTATAGGCACACAAATACCTCACAAATTTTTGTGTGAGTTAGAATGTAAGATGCTCTTCTACATGCCAAAAATGATGTAAATTTTAAAAGCACTGCACAATTTCTCCAGAAATATTTTCTTAGACTACTAAGAAAATATGATTAGAATCTCAACTAGTCACAAACTAGAATATACACATTCATCCTACAGGTTCTGTTTCTCTAGATAACACTGACTCATACAAATGAGAATATAATAATATAAAACTTGATTCCCCAATAATACTGCTAAACAATTTTCAATTGAATTATTCTCTATTTATATTTCAAAGAGTACACAGATATATCACTATTTCTGAAGCCATCTTCACATTTGTCTCAGGGTGAATGAAAAACTTTCCTAACATTCTTAATTGCACTGTTTTTGTGCCCAGAACCCAGGCCCCAACTTCAACCTTCTAACTCCAACTGGAGTTTTTACATTTCAAAATAGCTACATCCCTATCCTATCCAGAAGACTTCCTCCTACTTGAAAGCAGAGAAAACACTGTTTCATGTATTTGTGGCCAGAAACTCATTATGGCACAGCTGAAATGTACATTAACAACACAGTTTCTGTGGTTTCTTTTAAGTTTCTTATTATGTTTAAATAAACACAAATTTAAAGTTTTAAGTCTCTTTAATATTGATGAATAGGTTTCTGTCTTCATCAACAAATCAAATTGGGACTAAGAAAACTGACTCTTCCCAGGGCAACTGTCTCATAATCCTTATGCTCTATCCTCTGTGAAGACTCTCAAAACAAGTGCCAGTGTTAAGAGATATATATTTCCATATTACAGTGGTGTATTAAAATATATCAGGTCTCTCTCCCTAATGATTAACATTTTATTTGCCTTTTCTGAACAATAGAAGGTAACACACTCCTGCAGACTTAGGAAGGAGGATCATGCATTCAAGACTAACTTATGATACATAGTGAGACTGTGTTTCAATAAAAAGGAATATGAATGGAGATTCTATATACATTATCAGTAGTAGAACGCTTGCCTAATACATCCAAGGCACTGCACTGGATCCTCAGAACTAGGAAGGGGACAGAGAACTACAGTATGTTCTTCAACACTGAATATCAAGTTTCTAAAATGGTACCCAACACATATTACCTAATAAATATTTATTAGGGGCATAAAATAAGAATTATAAGTTAACCAACATAAAATAAATTATATATATCCAAATTTGTATTTTAATCCTAATGTATATGTGTATATATGTACCCTAAAGTATGTATTTTTCCACACCTCTCTGGATAGTTTATACATTTAAGGTGTTCAACTTGATTATCAAAGAAATACAGATTAAATGGAGGACTACATATATCAGATGTTTAAATGAAAGGTGAATAATGTCGAGTTTGATTGACAAGGTATAGAAATAATACACCTCACACACACTGCTGAAGGGAGTTTGAATTCTTTTGGGTACTTGGTGGAAACCGTGGGGGCCATCTTATCAATGAACAAAAGCATCTCTACAAGCAGTAAGAGTAACCATAACAGAGCTAATAGATGTGCACACATGTTTTCTCCAAAAATATGAACAAAGATGTTCATAGGAACATTTATCATGACCAAAACGAATTTGCAAATTAAAGCATAGTTCATGACACACTGCAGTGGATGAATACACAGTCACTGGTAAAGGGGCAGAATAATTTGGATTCAGTAGTTTAATTTTTAAAAAGAACCTGAATTTGACTGGCCTCTAGTTGGCCTTCTACCTTCATTGTTACATAAAGCAGATAATGAGGAAACTATCTAATTTGAGCAAGTCGTGCACACCTCAGAAGCTGTGTTCCCATCTTCATTCACACCGTTCTTTCATTTTCTATAGTCATTGTTTCAAATATGCTCCCACTACATGATTTGCTAGCTGTGTGATTATATAGGTATATGGAAAACAAACTGAATCTAGCATACATTCCTCTTTACCTACTGGAGTAAAAGTAAATGTCCTGTAACGTAGTATTTATTTGCTACTCACGTCCAGCTGAACATCCATAAAAGAAAATAGTTACCTGATTCTTGTGCACAGAGAGGAAGCATTAAGGGATAGATGATGCAAAGGAGTGAAAAGTCCATGGAATCTGAGGATGAAAGTCTTTTTCTAACAGTGACAATATTGTGTTTCCTAGCTAAACTTCCAAGTGAGGCCAGAATTCATGCTCCTATCAAAGCTTCCCACTGAGGTTATTCATTAACAAGGATATTTACCTATTGTATCTATCAACAAAACCAGGAGCTGGTTCTTTAAGAAAATCAACAAGATAGATAAACCATTAGCCAAATTAACCAGAGGGCTCAGAGACAGCATCCAAATTAATAAAATCAGAAATGAAAAGAGAGACATAACAACAGAAACTGAAGAAATTCAAAAAATCATCAGATCCTACTAAAAAGGCCTATACTCAACAAAACTGGAAAACCTGGATGAAATGGACAACTTCCTAGACAGATACCAGGTACCAAAGTTAAATCAGGAGCAGATAAACCATCTAAACAGTCCCATAGCCTCTAAGGAAATAGCAGCAGTCATTAAAAGTCTCCCCACAAAAAAAAAAAAAAAAAAAAAAAAAAAAAAAAAAAAAAAAAAAAGCCTAGGACCAGATGGTTTTAGTGCCTACTTGTTTTAGTGATCAAAAGAAGTGAGCCCAGACTATTGTGAGTGGTTCCATTCTTGAGCTAGTGGTCCTGAGTTTATAAGAAAGCAGGGAAGCAACCCAAGTGAAACAAACCAGTCAGCAGCATCCCTCTGCATCAGCTCCTGCCTCCAGGTTTCTTCACTGTGTGCACTCCTGACCTCATTGCTTTTATATTGAACTGTGAATAAAATAAACCACTTCCTCCACCAAGTTGCTCCTGCTCATGGTGTTTCATCCTAGCAATAGTAACCATAACTAAGATACCTCCTTCCTCATTTTTTTAAAAACATTTTTCTACCAAGGCATGGTGCTGCACATGTTTAACCTCAGCACCTAGGAGGCAAAGATAGTCAGATCTCTGTGAGTTGGAGTCCATCCTAGTAAGAGTCCATCCTATATAGTTTCAGAAACTCAGAATGACACAGTGGATTAGTTTAAGAGGGAAAGAGAAAGAGAGGAGAGAGGAGAAATTGGAGCGAGAAAGGGAAAGTAATGTAGAAGATACAGTGTTCATGGTGTGAAATTTTTAAAAAAATGTTCAAAAATTATTTTAAATTATATTTTATTGCAACAATTTTCAATTTCCTGGGTTTCCTTCCCTCTAGTTTTTTTTTTTCATAAACGTATGTTTCACAGGTGATATGGGGTTCTTCTATGATGTAATTCACAGGTTCTTTGTATAGGTGACAGAGAATTGAACAAGATCCAGAAAAGTAGTAGTGAAATGGTGGATTTATTTGTGGCACAGTAAAACAGAAAGTATACCATCAGACAGATAAATGGGTCAAGCTCACATGTGATCCAAAAACTGTGAGCTCTTTTCTGGGGTTCCTATTACAGATTTAAGAGGAAGGAATGAAGTGAATTCTTATCTTGAGTGACAGATGGGCTATTAATTTAAGTTCATGTAAGCTTCATCATAAAATGTAGAACAGGGGTTAGATATCATTACTGTAAACAGTTTAAGATATTAAGAAACCTCTACAGCATCTGTTATCATGGAGAATATAAATATTTGTTCACAAGGCTGAGACATATGTGATCCTGTTTTACTGCAATCTATTTGTGCTGAGGCATAATGTACAGAAGAGCTTCCTTACCTTAGTTACAGTTTCATTGCTGTGAAACTTTGACCATTGTAAATGTTATAAATGAAAAATATAACTGGGGCTGGCTTATAGTTTCAGAAGCTTAGTCCATTATCATCATGATCCACTGCCCCCACAGTGACACACTTCCTCCAACAAGGCTACACCTCCTACGAACACCTCCTACTAATGCCACTCCCTATGGGCTGAGCATTCACACAGAGGAGTCTATGGCACCCATGCCTATCCAAACCACAATGCCCGTTTATTCCAATGACCAATTCTATTCCCAGTAGGACAACTTCTCATACTTCTACTCTTATGGGAGGTTTGTATTCAGGCACATTCTGGTAGGAAAGAATTTTAAAAGGGAGCCTCATCTGAGATTCTTAGAAAGTGTCCAGAAACAGGTGGACAAGGATTTATTAAAAGTCACATATGTTCAGACTCCAAGCTTGATTTGTTAATAGTTTAACATCAAATTTGAAAAGATTAGTTTCTTTGTGCTAGTAACCTTCATAACAAATTGTGCTTAAACTCTTCATTCTGAGCTGGAGAGGGTTCCAACAAGATTCCAAGATGAGGATGCTCTTTCCCTTCTCATGTCTGAACATGCTTCTTGTATTTCTATCTGATCTATAAAGAGACAAATATAATTTCCCAGACAGACTATTTATGTGTAACTAGAACCCAGAACTTGAACCTAGGAGATAATGATATTCACTCAAGAATGTAATTGGTCTTGGCTTCTCTGAACTGGGATCAGTATTCAGTGAGCATTTCATAAACATGTATGTTCATACTACTCTCCTCCATAATCAATAACAGACAAGCTAACCAACCACATATGCAACAAAACCAAACCAAACTAAACCAAACCAACCCAAAACCTCTAATACCAAAGCCAACCAGCCAACCAGCTCACCAACCAACAACAACCAATAGAATACAAAGAGTCCATAGGGAAGAAAGGGCTGGATCTAGGAGGAATTAGATGATGTTATCATAATGATCAAAACACATTGTAAAAAATTCCAAAAGAATGAATAAGAAACTTTAAAGATTACATAAAATATTCAAAACATAAACAGCAACAATAACTGCAACAAAAAACAAAGCTCAACATTTATATTAGGGAAGTGCAAATTAAGACTATATTGAGATTCCACTTCACATCAATTGGAATGACAAGAAATAATAAAAAATGGTGGCAATTATGCAGGGAAAATGGTATCCTTAGACACTGTTAGTGGCCTGTAAATTAATATTACCACAGTGTAATTCCTCATGGAAAAGATTCTAAATAAATAACCCACAGAAATACTTGCATGGCGGGTGTTTATTATAGCATCGTTTAAAATCCGATGTAAGGAATCAGCCTAGGCAAGAGATGAATAGACAATAAACATATGGACTATAAACAAAATAGAGTGTCATGTGTTCATGAAGAATGACATTAACAATAAATAAAGAACGACTTTGCTGGAAGATGGCTACAGCTGGTCATCAACATGTAAATAAAATAGGCCAGAATCAGAAAGACAAATGTCAACTTTTCTCTCATTTATGTGTCCTAAATTTTTTTATACACATGTAAACCATATGTATTTATCTCAATAGATGGCATGAAAGCAGAAGTCTATAATAATGAGGGGAGTGGTAAAGAGCTAAAAAGAGAAAGAGCAGGTTATCAGTGATGGGATCGAATTTCATGGTCTTCTCAAAAGAAACGGTTTTATGAAACCCACACAATGGAGTACCTGCCAGTATCAATAAACTTTCTACAAGCATAAACACACACAGGTCATTTCATTTAATAATGTAATTCTATCTCTAACATAAGATATATATTTAATTATCATATTTTCCATCTAAACAATTAGAAATACTCTTAACCTCTATTTCATTAAAAATGTAAATAGTTTATTATCAGTTTTTAAATCCTTTCACAATTTCTTTGACCAATCACAAAAATGGGTTTACATTGTGAACTTGTAGATATAATTCCCTTCAATGATCTCTGCTGTTTGAAGTTGTCGGGCTATATAAGGCTGGGAAATCTTCAATGGTTTCTATTAGTTTTAGACCAGCTAGAGCTAAATGGTGATACTCTGTCTTCAAACAAACAAACGAGCAAATAAACAAACACATTTAAAAAGTGAACAAATTTAGACAGAAACAATATCCTTGTGAAAGTCATGTGACCTAATATCATTTACTTAGGCCAACTCTTTGTCTAGACAAGATGTGTCATGAGACCATTGGCAGAATTGTACTTGAATCACTCAGTTTATTGCAAAGCCTCATCCCACAGACCACTGGTTCTCAACCTTAGGCTCAAACCCTTTAAGAGTCAAAAGACCCTTTCACAGTGATTGCCTAAGACCATCTGCTTTCAGATATCTACATAACCATTCATAACAGTGGCAAAATTATAGCTCTGAAGTACCAAAAAATAATTTTGTGGATATGGGACACCACAACATGAGGAACTGTTTAAGGAGTTGCAGTGTTAGGAAGGTTAAGAACCATTGTCATAGATCTGTTTGAAAATGACGCAATGCCCAGATGTTATAGGGAGTATTTTGTATCATAATTTTACCTAGATGCTGCCACAGTTCCACAGGAGAAGTAATTACCCTAACTGCTATGAATAATAATATCTGCTGACTACACATGCATTTATTGTTATCGGTCTCTTTGTCACAAAATCTAATCAAAATCAGAGCTTGGCTTTGAGGCTAAAAATGAGCAATTGTTTCCCTTGACCTGGGAGGTTTGTGTTGGTTGTTAAATAGCTACATATTAATCACCTAGGACATCAAAAATATCTCTGGACATATTCCTCAACATTATTATAGCTCCTAGGTGATTTCAGAAAATAATAGATGCAGAGAGAGGAGTTACATTGGCTAGGAAATGAAACAGATTTAAAAACAAGCCAATGGAGAAAGCAGGCTTTTCTAAAAGAGAAGCTGGCCAGACATCTGTGTCTAGGCAACCTCATCATGTAGTTTGTGCTAATGTGATTCAGTCACTATAAATATTGTGTACAGTTCTAGTTGAAACTGATAGTACAGTAACAGGGAGAAAGCAATATGCAGTACCATCATACAAAAAGAACTCATCAGTGTACAAAAAGTCACTGGATGATGATGAATCTCTCCGTGTTCCATCCCCAGAGACTAGTAACCTTCACTAGCTTGTGGTCTCAATGGAGGGAGAAGGTTTTGTGAAGATCCCTTTGGATGGTAACAACTTTGTCTAAGTCAGTGTTCTATTGCTTGCAGAGACACCATGACCATGGTGAAAAGATGGATGGGGACCAATGGTGGAAGGGGATGTCTCAGGAGGCCCT